AGTCCTATATAATAAAAGCCTAATATGCAAATCGACCAAACGGTGGAACGACCGGTCACTATGACATGCACTGACCACCAGGGGGCAGACGCAGGAGCTGCCCCCAACCCGCAGGCCCCAGACCAGCCAAGGCGGGTGCCAATGGGGGCCCCACCAGTCGCCCCACAGAGAGAGGGGACAGAAGGTAGTAGTGGGGGTGGGGGTGGGGCGGAGCTGGTGCCTGGCCAGCCAAGGCGGGTGCTAGCAGGGCCCCCCGATCGCCCCACAGATTGGCCCTGATTGCCATCCAGGACTAGGGACCGTACCTGTGCAAGAATTTTTTGCACCACGCCTCTCGTTCAGTCATAAAAGGAAATGAAGTACTGACACAGGCCACAACATGAATGAGCCTTCAAAGCATCACTAAGTGAAAGAAGCCAGACACAAAAGGACATATATTGTATGATCCATTGACATGACATGTCCAGAATAGTGAAGTACCTGTTTTGCCTTTGGAGAAAATGTGCGCTAGCCCTGGCTTCAGCTCATTACTTCTGCCTGTTACTCCCCTCATTCCAGTTCCAACTTCTGTTCTCTCTTTAAGACTCCGCTTCAGTGACCCTTCCCTCTGCAGGAAGCCTTGCTCACCAACCAGGCCAAGGAAAAACGTGGCTTTTTTTGTTTTCTTAGTGCGTTCCACAAACCTTTCTAATAGCAGCAACCATGCACAGTTGTTTGCTCCCAGGTCTTTATTCCACACTGGACCGTGGGGCTCTGGCAGGCAGAGACTAACTCAGCCGTGGGCAAACTACGGCCTGTGGGCCGGATCCGGCCCGTTCGGCTGTTCTATCCCGCCCATGGAGCCGAAAGAGCGGAGGGTTCTCTTGCTCTCCCCTCCGCTCCTTCACCAGTAGCAGTGTTAACATGTATTAGTTCACACGAACACTCCATCCATGCTTTTGTTCCGGCCCTCCGGTCCAGTTTAAGAACCCATTGTGGCCCTCGAGTCTGAAAGTTGGCCCACCCCTGGACTAGCTTGTGTGCATTCCTGTAATCCCTGGTGCCACAGAAGGGAGTGGCAAGAAATACTCACAGTGATGAATAGCAAGGACCTGCAACCAAGATTACTCTACCCAGCAAAGCTATCATTTAGAATTGAGGGTCAGATAGAGAGCTTCATAGACAAGAAAAAGCTAAAGGAGTTCATCACCACCAAACGAGTATTACATGAAATGTTGATGGGTACTCTTTAAGAAGAAGGAGATGGAGAAGGAGGAGAAAAAAATAGATTAAAAGATATGAACAATAAAGTTGCAGTAAACATATCAACAATTGAATCTAAAAATCAAAATAAACTAACAAAAAATCTAATGAACAAAAGAAACTGAATAATAAAATAGAATCAGAGGCATGGAAACATGGAACAGACTAAGAAACCTCAAAGGGAAGCGGGGTGAAGGGGTTGGAAAAGATTAACCAAAGATCTTACATGTATATATGCATTACCTGTGGACACAGACAGTAGGGTGGGGAAGGTTTGGGATGGGGCGGGAACCAGGTGTAGAGGAGGAATGGGGAGGGGGAAGGGGAACATCTGTAATACTCTCAGCAATAAAGATTTTTTTAAAATACATACATGTTTAAGATGTTTGGCCTGTATTGTAAGGCTGCCCTCCAGAAGAACTGACTGCATGTCCATGTGAATTTTGAAATTGTCTCTGTCTGTGTAATGAAACTTTATTAGGAGCCCAGCCAGGCTCCATTCCCAGTGGGGGGAGTGCAGGTGGTAGCTGATCAGTGATTCTCTCTCATCATTGATGTTTCTCTCTCTCTCCCTCTTCCTTCCTCCTGAAATCAATAAAAATATTTTTTTAAAAAACTATTAGGACCTTTGAATGTGTGCTACCTCTGCTGGACTATAATATAGCTTCAGTAGAGAAATCTATAATAATAAAAGCATAATATGCTAACTAGACCTGACAAAGCTGAGGCTACGAGGGAAGCCCAGGTCCCAGGTGCTGGAGGAAAGCCGGCAGCCGGGGGAAGGAAGGCCTACTTTTGCACGAATTTCGTGCATTGAGCCTCTAGTATGGTTATAAGGCTCAGTAAAGAGAAAGCCAATCTCAGAGCTCAAACAGAAAGGAGTCCTGCTTTGAATAATTACTCAAATAACTTTCCCACCATGTTTTATGTACTGTGAACAACAGAGAAAACTAATAGTTCCCCTGCCTTCAGAAGTGTTGAATCTCCATTGTTACGGTTCAGTCCTCTGTGCCTGTCGCAGGCCAAGCCCTATCTCCAGAAGATATCATCGATAAGGATCGCAGGTTTCAGGTGTAGCCCCGCCAACCACTCAGATAGTGGAAATATACTGATAGTTCTTCCTTGGCCATCACACACATTTTCCCTTGGAAAATGGAATAGACACCACTCGGCCAGAAAAGATGTTTTTCAGGTCATTAAATCTACAATCATGCCTAAGAAATTAAGTAAAAGGATGCTAATTCTGGTGAGTGTGGAGGGAGGAGGGACCTTCTTGCACTCTTATCTGGTGGCATAAAAGGAGATTGTATTGTTTCAAGTTCAAACTGGTTTAGACAGTTGATGGCGTATTATTTGATCTTAAAGATCTTTTGAATGAATTATTCTTATGCTTTTCCTTTATTCCATCTCAATCATGTATATCTGTTTCCTCAGGGCCCACTGGAGGCCAAGCACTCTTCTAGATAATTTTCTTAATTTTGACATTGTCTGTCTCTCTAATCTTATTTTCCTTTGTCTCTCCACTGGTTTTACTCATAATTTATCAAGTAAAGGCTTTTAAAAGACAGAACAGCCCTGGCTGCTGTTGCTCAGTGGTTAGAGCATCGGCCTGAAAAACAGAGGGTGGAGAGTTTGAATCCTGGTCAAGGGCACGTACCTGGGTTGCCGGTTTGATCCCCAGCCCTGGTTGGGCGCGTGGGGGAGGCAGCCAATCTGTGTGTCTCTTTCACATTGATGTCTATTCCGCCACCTCTCTTCCCCTCCCTCCCTCCCTTACCCCTTACACTCTCTAAAAGTATGTGGTAAAATATCCTCAGGTGAGGATTAACAACATCAACGACAAAAGACAACAAAGCAAATCGACTAAAAATATTAAATTTTGACAGTCCCAGTCTAAGGAAATAGCTAAGTAAACCTAATATCTTGGAATATTATGTAGCCCCAAAGAATTCGCAGTGACATGGGGGTAATGTTCACACTATAATAAGTTAAATCAAATGCAGTTATACAAGCAGTGTGAATTCAGCTACGTGTTCTAAAGCCCAGGAGACGACCAGGTGACGCAGACCAGGCTGTTGTAGGGCTCACTGGCGGTGGGTCACGGGTGACTTGCCTGCTTTGAGTGAAAGGATCAGGTTTCCTTCAGATTCTTATAATGGGCATAAAAACAGAGGGAATATACTTCAAACACTAACAAGACATTTTGTGTCTTTTTTGTTTGTTTGTTAATCCTCAAGCGAGGATATATTTTTTCCCATTGATTTTTAGAGAGAGTGAAAGGAGGGAGGGAGGGAGGGAGGGAGAGAAAGAAAAGAACATCAATATGAGAAAGACACTTCAAATAGTTGCCTCCTGCACACAACCGGGCCAGGGATTGGACCCACAACTCAAGCACATGCTTTGACCAGGAATCAAATCTGAGACCCTCAGTCCTCAGGCGATGCTCTGATCACTGAGTACCCCTGCCAGGGCTCTGTTTTTTGTGTGTTTTTTTTTAGACTACAAGATATAGAGATAAGGATTTAATCATTTAACTGTTAAATCCTGAGCACTCACTATTGAAGAGTGGGGAGTATAGAAGAGAGGACACTGAATTGTGTATATAGTTTTGGACTCATACTAAAATATAAGTAATACTTGAATTTATATACAAACTAGGGGCCCGGTGCATGAATTTGTGCATGGGTGGGATCCGGCCAGCCTGCCCCTATTGGGGTGGGGGGGCCAACCGGGGGTGAGGCCGGCTTGGGGGAGGGGCTGTGGGCAGTTGGCAAGCTGGTTTCGCCCCCTGGTTGAACTCCTGGTCAAGGGGACAATTTGCATATTAGCCTTTTATTATATAGGAGTCTGAGTTGTTTATTGGCATTTGCTATAAATATGTAGGTCAGATTTAGTAAGATAATAAATAATAAATCATAAGTAATCAGTAATCTCAGGAGTAGATTCCAAACCAATGGATCATCCTGAAGTGTTCTGATTGACAGTGTTCTGTGGTCACTTGGTCAGTGCGTACCAGTTTACGAGTTAATATGTTTAGTAGGGGGATGTATGTGCGAAA